AAAAAAAAAAAAAAAAAAAAAAAAAAAAAAAAAAATCAGAGCAGACCCCAGTTATAAAAAAATGTTAAAGGAAGATTTTCAGGAAAGAAGATGATAGCAGACATCAACACAGAGGAACGAACATCTGCGCCCGGAGGGTAAACGTAAGCGCAGGGTCTCAAATGCTCACTGCAGCACCATCTTAACAGACAAAAGACAGAAACAACCCGAGCCCATTAACCTAGGAGGAGACTTCTTTAAACACAGCGCGGCAGCACAGGGAGGATGATCCACCAGAGAGGGAGCGGCGCGGTGCCTGGCACACGGCAAGGACGCCAGGTGAGTCCGACACAGGAGGACAGACACTGCATCGCTGCACAGGACACGGTGCCAGGCAAGGCAAAGTCACTGAGACAAAAGCAGGACTGTGGTTCCCAGGAGCTGGAGGCAGGGAGAGTGGGGACTTCCAATTTGTGGGTGGAGAGGGAAACATGTTTGTTTTTAATAATTTTAATAATTTAATAATTAATTTTAATAAATAACGGTTGCAAAGCACACCACCAATGTAATTAATGCCATTACTGTATATTTTTTCTTTTTTTGTCTTTTTTTGCACTGTATATTTTTAAATGGTTAAAATTGGGAATTTTATTCTACAATTTTGAGAAAAGATTGCTTTGAAAAGGGACCACACAGTATGTTATGGGAACATAAAGTAGACATGTCTAGCCTATCAAGGAAAGTCAGGAAATCGAGAAACTTCCAAAGCAAAATAGCAAAGATATATTTTGCTATTTATAATATAGGTCAAAGTAAAATGTATAAAAACAAAAGCACAAAGACTGAGAGTAAATCAAAGCATGCTGTTATAATGTACTTGTATGTAAAGCGGTACAATATTCTTTGATATACTGTTAAAGAATCCTAAAGTTACCAATAAAACAGTTGTAGATATGACAGAGAGATACAATGGAACCAGATACATACAAGATACTTGAAATGAAACAGGAAAAAAACAAAAAACAAAAAAGAAATAGCCCAGAAAAAAAAATGTTTAAAAGATTGGGATTAAATCCAAACATGCCAATAACAACATTAAACACATCTGGCTTAAATGTCCCAATTAAAGGCATAAATTATCAAATATTAAGATTCAAGTACCTACTGCCTCAATAAATGAGATAACAGATGAAAAGGCTGGAGAAAGAGTTACCAATTTAACACCAAAGAAAAGAAAGCTGGTCTTGGTAGTTGATGCCTGTAATTCTAGTACTTTGGATGGCTGACGCAGGAGGATATCATGTTTAGGCCCAACCTAACCTGCCTTGAAAAAAATACTTGTTTTTTACATGGCCAGAAATGTGGCTCAGTGTGAAGGCCCTGGGTTTGATCCCCAATACCGAAAAAAAAGAAAGAAAAAAGAGAAAACAAAAGGAAAAAAGATAGTCGGAGAGAATACAGTGCCAGTATGAAGCAGAACATCACGGCTGGGCATGGCGGTGAGCTTGCGCTCTGGGCAGCAAGGCAGGAGGACTGCGAGGGTGACCTGGCAGCTTCAGTGAGACCCTGTCATGATGGACACAGGACACCGAGCAGACCAAGACGGCACGTACCGCCTGGAACTCTAACACTCAGGGAGAGGCAGGAGGTGCGGGAGTAGACCAGCCTGGGCTACACTGCAAGTTCAAGGCCACCCTGTACTAGAGTGTGAGACCCTGCCTCAAAAGTCAGTAAAAATAAACAAAAGACAAGGGCACACTCAGCCATAAACTGAAGTCAAAGAGACACCTAAGAGACAGAATCTTGAAAGCAGGATGGGAAAGGTGAAGTTATGCAGAGGGATCCTTGCCAGGCATGGTGGGATACACCACCATATTTCATATTTATATGAAAACAACAACAACAACAAATCTCACTCAGCACACTAGGAGGCAGAGGCAGGAAGATCCTAAATTCAAGCACAGCCTGGGCAACTTAGTGAGACATTGTCTTAAAACTTAAAAAATAGGCCAAGGATATAGCTCGGTGGCACCGCGACTGTCTGGCAAGCGCAAGGTCCTGAGTTTGATCCCCGGTACCAAATGAATAAATAAATAGGGAGAATAACTCAGTATAAAGGCCCATGGGTACTGAAAAAAAAAAGGGGGATTAATCAGTAAGATTAACAGCTGATTTCTCACCAGAAACCATGGAACTAAAAGGCAGTAGCCAAAGATATTCAAAGTCTCCAATTAAAAAGACTGTCAACCAGACAATCAGCCCACAAAAATAATGTAGAGACTGAGATATTCCTAGACAGACAAAACTGAAGTAATTCTTTGCTAGCAGCTACTGAAGACAGTTCTCCAGACTCAAAAGTACTAAAGTAACTCAAATGCCTGCAAAGGGAAAAGAATAAAGTGAGGTGGAATTAGCTCTACAGATAAATAGAAAAGGTTAATGTATTAATTGTGTGTAACTATTTTATCTTATTTAAAAGATAACTGTATGAAACAGTAAGTATAGAAGGATCACTTGGGTGACAATATGTAAGTTCGTCATTTATGTGAAAATAACAACAAAAAATCACAGCACATAACAGTGGGAAGGGAATGAAACCACAGAGAAGCAACATTTTGGTGTACTACAGACATTAACTTGGCATTAATCCAAACTGGACTATGGAGGATTAAGATGCTTATTCTAATCCCTAGAAAAACAGCTCAACAATGGATATAAATAACTATTAAAGGTACACAGTTACTGCTGGGTGTAGTGATTCATGCCTGTAATCTCAACTACCAGGAGGCTGATGCAGAAGGATCGCAAGCCTGAGGCCAGTCTTGGCAATTCAGTGAAACCTTATTTCAAAATAAAAAGGGCTGGAGAAGCAGCTGAGCACTAGAGCACTTGCCTAGCATGCCTGAGGATCTGGGTTCAATCTCAGTACTGCAAAAACAAGCAAAAGTACATCAGCGATTAGTAGGATCAAGAGGGAGAGGGTAGT